ATGGTGGAGGTTACACATATTGATAGATGTCTTGTAATGCACTGTTGAGGAACCTGCGACCCAAGTTTTTCATTCATTGCATAACTTCAATGTAGTTGTGTATATGATATGTCAATAAACCTTTGAAAATCTTGAAAGGGATGTGCAAAATAGCAATTATATAGTCTTTAATTAACTATTAGTAGAGAATAACGAGTAATGAATATACTTTATAGAGATCTGCAGATAAATGTTTAGTCTTCTCAAGCACCAACTATCAAATATCTCTCCTGATTGTTGGCACTTGACAATCAACTTCCCTGAATTTTACTCAGGTGTAACTAAAGTCTGATTTAAGCGTTGTTTATATTTCCCATCATTAATCAGAATCTGCAAAGTAACTAAAATAAATGTAGTGGAGTAAAAATACCAGGTTAACCTCTGAATTGTAGTGGAGTAGAATTACAAAGTAACAATGAGCTGTCATGTGGGTATATATTAATGCTGCCCATTATGGACACAAGCAATTTTCACCCATTTATTAATTATATGTTTTAAATTTGATAACACCAATGGGTTTAATACTGGCAACTTCTCGTTGAATCGGCGGAAATCGCAATCGACACCACGTACGTTGTCGTGTACCGCTGTACTACATCAAACGATATCGGATTTCAATCTAAAATGGGAGTTTAATGTCGTAAATACAAAGTTGTTAGTATTTTCAACAACATTATCGACCTTTAATTGGACGACTTGTTTGTACACTTAATATTTGTACACAAAAGGTGGGTGTAAAAGAAACGTTATTTGGTTTAGGTAACATTCTAATATAAGGAAAAAAATCTCCCTCGGGAAAATTATTGTTGAAGACACAGTCGGGTGATTTAGTACAGAAGTGACGTGGGTGAGGAAATCACACAGGACATCGTATGTATTATTCACGGACATCACTCTTGGTGTCGTCAGTGTACCCACGGGTTGGGGTTAGAGTGCTGTAAAGGCGACAATATATGCTGTAATTAGATAACTAAGCACAAGTGGTTGTGCTAAAGGGGAAAAAAAAGGCACAGTGTGTGTGCTAAAATTTAGGTTACATAAAACTACCATCATACAAAGACGGCGTTCGTGCAGGAAAAAAGGGTAAAGGTCAAGAACCTTCTTGACCTTCGACCCCAGTATTTTTGTACAAGATGGGTTATAGTCGGGGGCTAATACCCAAAAGTAAAAATTTAGCATAAAACGGCAGACAAAAAAAAACTCCTTTTATTTACCCGAGCTCTCGGAGTCTTATGACTTTAAACATAAAAGTTTAGAAAAAAATTTTTATTGTGTGGACAATAAATAAGTGTATTTGTGTTATGGGAACAAAATAAATAANCCACAAAATACACCAAAAGCAGCGAAGAAGACCCCGGAGCATGCTTGCCATGGTTGCCCTTCTGTTTATTCTCCGCGGTGGACGGCGTGTGCTCCTGCTGTATATCTCTCCGGTAGACCACCAGCAGATGAAAAACACCCACATCTCCGCCTCTTCCAAGGGACGAGGGGACCGTGCGGCAGAGTTTCCGTTAAAGTTTAAATCTTCCGGACAAAATTAGAAAAGTGCCGTCAGAGGTCTTCTTTGTTATTTATTGAGCTTTAGAACAAATTGATAACGACTCTATATAATAATATAAGAATAATAAACGGAGCCTCTCTTTCCTCCCCCTCTTCTGGCAGCAGCTGATATCTGAGCAGGAGACATGGGGAGAGGGAGGCGGGGCTATTTCATCGTTATCAGAAAATGATCGTATAGAGGCGTACACACGGAGCCGTTTGCCCCCCCAGAGCGTTCCGTTTGCAGATCTATCCACCTTGGGACCCGTTATCGTTTGCGGGGTCCGTTTCTATCGTTTTGTTACGGCCTTGTGTAAACAAAAGGGCTATACGCAAGAGAAACTATGCAGATACAAACCGTATCGTCCTCCTGTAAACGGGGTCTTATTAGGCTCTCTCTCACCTGCAGGCACACATAACTTGTCCCAGACTCACTACATCAGAGTATTTATTTGTTCTATTTCCTGTTTTACAACCTTACTTAAGGCTGGAAACAAAGAGGGAGGCCACACAGAGTTAAATGCCAATCAGATGTTTATTTAACAGTTTAACATAAAATACCTCTGAGTAATTGTGTATGTAAGAATAAGACTGTCAGTAGTGTCAGCAGTGTGTGGATGTGTGGAAGTGTGCTGTAGGCATGTTGGATGGTGCATCAAACCAAACACAGGTGGAAGGCTGAAGTTGCTGCAGCATGCCAGGATCAGAGAGTGAACCTTCCAGCTGGGCAAGCCTTTATGCCTTCTTGCGGGCACAAACAGGACAACACTCCAAGTACCTGCCAGAGGACTGCAAGGCAGGCAGCACAGACAGGCAGAATCTAATTGTAAATTCATGTGGAATACAGGAGCCATCCAAGTTTCCAGTATGTATACCAGTTGATATGGACTGTATCCCAAAAAAAAAAAAATATATATATACATATGTAATGTTATCTCCAAGCACATTGCTTGGAACAACCATTGTTGGTTGCGGATATTGATGAATTTGTCATAAAACATTTTGTCTCTAAAGAGACCATCCCATTGGGACCTACTGTACGTTTGTGAGATGGAAATATCATTAGAGCAAGTAATTTACTTCCCCAGAGAAGAACACCAATCTTATAATAGAAACTTTGAAGAAAAGATGCACGTT